TAGGTAGGCATGTCACCCTCCTTTATAGAACTTCACTCTCCTTAAACTGATCGATACTTGGTGCCCTTGCAGCAGTTTCCATCCCTTTTGCATTTAATGCCACAAAGGATCCTCTCACTTCTAAGTTTAGTGTATTACTGCGATCCATCTCTCAAAGATGCCTCTCTGAGATACAGCATAAGTGCAGTTCCCTCACCACTAATGCGATTACTTATGTCTCTTTACGTGTTAACAAGAAGCCATCGGGGCTTGATTAGTAGCACTGGGATGTATTTAGAAAAGTAGGAAGTAAGGATCGAAACCAAAGAAAGTGCCTCTATCACACTACTTACCTCCAAGTTCCTTGTCTCGGGTGCTAAATGACATCATTTTCAGCCTTTGTCATATTTCCATTTGGTCTGGGCAAGACCACTCTTGAGTCTTTTTTTCACCAGTAACTACACTTTCTATTTTTAAAGCTTCACACTCTGGTAGTAGGGGTTGGGGTTACCCAGAGTACCCACCCAAGTTTAGGGGTTGTCTAATACAATATGAATAGCTACTTAGTCTTCAGTGTCCTTTCACTGTGGCTAGGCACTGTGCCCAGGGACTTCACAAATATTCTCTCTATACAACCACCAGATAAAAAAACAGGTCTTCTCTTTCCCCCATTTTTCCAGATGAGGAAACTAAGATTGGGAGAGATTAAGACCCAGACCTTACAACCAGTAACTGGGGAAACCAAAACTCAAGCCTGGGAATGCTGGACTTTCAGGTCCTCTTGACCATGGCATTGCACAATCATTGCCAGTGCCCCCCTAAAGCAGACTCTTTAAGGGTCTCAGGGCAGGGACCTTATGAGTATAAACAGACGTGATGGCAATGAATTTGGCTTTGAGTTTTTGTGCAGGGTTCTTCCCTCTGAATTACCAGGAACAGTCTGGCACAGTCTTCTGTTCTACCGGGAAGGTTAAAAACTTTGGCATACGAATTTTCCTTTTTTTTTCTTTCTTTTCATCTTAGAGAGGTGGTGACAGAACATCTGGCTGGTGGCCATGTTCAATTGCACTCCAATAGACACCCTTTTAGAAGCAAAATCACAGGAGCTATACGTTTCCAGCCATGCCAACAAAGTGGTGGGGGAAAATTGAGTTGAGTTTATCCTAATGCAGATCTTCGAAAAGTGTTACTGTCAAAAAGTGAGGTTACAAAGACCTGTTGTTTGACAAGTTCACCCTTTAGTACAACAGTAAGGGAAAGAACAAAGGCCAAGATTAAATTGGAGAGAGAGCTCTGATATGATCTGACCTAAATAAAAGTCATTTCTGTGTCATGGGCTTATTTCTGTACCACTGAATAAGGAAACAACTTAAGTCACCTGTTTGCCATTTTTACTTTAGAGACGGGGTAGCAGTTTGAGGACATGGAGGAGCACAAAGTGGAGGAGGTCCTGGTCTCCCCTCAGGTGCCCACAGTACAGTGAGAAAGAGAACAACAATAAGCTAATATAAGCTTAAATCAGCTAAAAATTAAAGTTGATTTTACCCAGCAGGAAGAATTGCAACCAATTTCCTCAAATCACCGTCTCCACTAGGAGTAAATTTAGAGTCTGAGACTTCTTTTGGTAAGTCTTTTTTTTTTAAAACCATGCATCGTGCTAACTCAATAAATAACATGTGTTGTTCCATATCATGCTAAATGCATGTAAGTCAGAGTATTTCTTTTACATGTACAATCCCCAGATGAAGTCATGATGAATTTCTTTTTCTTTTATTTTTTTTCCATTTTATTGGAGGCTTATCCAGCTCTTATCATAATCCATACCTACATCCATTGTGTCAAGCAGAGTTTGTCTTTCTTATGAGCATCTCAAGAAGTTGCAGACCAGTGACTTACTCTAGCATATCACATGGCAGCCCATGAAAGTCCTCAGTCTGGGACCTCATTCAAAAGGACTTGGTACCAGAAAACCAGATGGCCAAGATCTAATGTTGTCCTATCCATTAACCTGGCTCCCTTGACACGCCTCCCACTTCCCTCTCATCTTTGATGTAGAATAAATATTGACCAATGGGTGTCATTTAGATTATCCTTTGGAAGAGCACAGTACTATTTATTTTAGGAGCCATGCTATCTTTGGAATGCTAGGTGACCACTAAAAGTGGTTTGAGTTTCCAGTGTATCCATGGCAACCATCTCAGGGGTTTCTCTCCTCTCTACCAGTCTGGCAAGTCTGTCCTTTTTCAGGAATCTGAATTTCTTTCTATGTTTTTCTCCCATTCTATCCAGGATTTTCTATTGTGTCCCTGGGTGTAATATTATTGACTTTTTATAATTACATAAATTTCCATGTTCAGATTATACTTCTTTCCAGATAGCTCTTGTCATCAGAACATCCTTTTCCAATGTTACCCCACTGAGCCCATTTTCCAGAAACGGGCTGCCTTACTCTGAACAAATTTTATTTTTCAACTTTTTTGCTAAAAATAAGCATTCAACTTTCCCCCACTTCCTTATATTTAATGAACTTGTTTTCACACACTTTCATTATCCTCTGTGTTATGCTATGGATCCTTTAATGTGCCCATCCCTGTTAAGTATCATGCTTAAAATTAGTTCGAGGACTTCCAGAGTAGTTGGGGAGCAAGAGACCACCTGGACTCAGGAGCTCATTCTCAAAACAGCGGTCCTTGAGCATTTTGAGACACATACCCTTTTTTAGAACCTATAGATGTATGTACAATTTTCCCTCCAATTTCAGAGGATCCTTGGACACCTGTAGGTCTTTGGTAAACCTTGTCCAGTCTGGGACACTTACTCAGTTATGTTGAAGCTGTATCCAGAATTTTAATAGCTACAGGTGAAGAGTTTAAGTAGGAATATTTTAGAGGTCTGATTTTCAAACCAACTTTCCATTATGATGGCATATATGAAGTGTTTTTAGAATTCAAGTTCAAAATAATTCACTTGTTCTCTTTTCCTTGAACTGATTTGCTCAGACATGTTAACTTCTTCAGAGTGATGTCCTCATGAGATTTTTAAAATAGACCACCATGCCTCTCACACTCAGTCGAGTTTTCTGTAGATGAATAATCCTGCTTGGCTTGAATGTTCTATTGACTCAAACCTAGTGCAAAGTGAAGCAGACAATGTCTTTTACCAGTGGTTCTGGGTTCTTGGCAGTTATTATTGTTTTTTAATGTTTGTTTTGCAGAATGTATATACTCTTTGAACACATATAAATGACAGGGAAATTTAAGATTTTTGAATATGTTATTTTACCAGGTAACTGGGCAAAGTAGTTTAAAAGTAGTGCTCATTGCTGTGTGTTTTCATCTTAATGTTTCTTTCTCTTTTCTGTGTGCATATATGGGCTTTCCTCCACCCTCCCAACATGCCCTCTCAGCTCAGTTTTGTGCACACACCCTTATTTGCTAGCCCCTCCTATGTGAACACTGCCTGAGTAATCTGTTTTTGTGGTGAAGTGTAGGCTGACACTTGGATATGAATAAGGATCTTGGGGGAAGGAAAGGGATGGTAGGTCCATCATGGTGAATGAAGTGTTGGTGTCTTCATGCTGGTCTCTGATTGCTGTGGACCTTAGCTCCGTAGCATGCAGGGAACTTCTGTTTCAATTTGACAATGGTTCTAAGACCAGATTTTGCGTGTGTTAGAATAAGCAATTAAGTTTTGTATAGCGGTGGACTTCCCCAGTGTGTGACATCCACTGTTGGATTTTACTAACATGACAATGATGCCAGAGTTCTCCATTTGGGGGCATGGGGGTCAGATAGTGGACGTGATGCCCCGATGTCATGTTTTCTCTGCCTTGTCACCTCACTTGCTGTTTTTCTTCTTCCTCCATAGGTTATGGCCATGCTGTACCCTTGTCAGATGGAGGGAAGGCCTTCTGTCTCTTGTACTCCATCATTGGCATCCCTTTCACCCTCCTCTTCCTGACGGCAGTGGTCCAGCGCATCACCTTCTATATCACCCACAGACCTGTTTTTTACTTCCACACCCGCTGGGGCTTCTCCAAGCACACTGTGTCCCTCGTACATGCGCTCGTCCTCGGATCTGTCACCATGTCCTTGTTCTTCCTCATCCCAGCAGCTGTGTTCTCCAACCTGGAAAGTGACTGGAACTTCCTTGAATCATTTTATTTTTGTTTTATTTCCCTGAGCACCATTGGCTTAGGGGATTATGTTCCTGGAGAAAGTGATAATCAGAGATTCAGAGCCATCTACAAGTTTGGAATCACGTGTGAGTATCAAGAGTGGCAAACTACTCCCTCTGTCTCAGTTTTGCCATCCAAAGCCGCCCTCTGCTTGCTAATGAGTCATCATTCATGCAACCCTGGCTGACTTTTCATTGATAAAGCCAGTTGCCATAAAGCCCACTCTGACTCTTGGCAATCCCTTAGGGTTTTCAGGGGTTGAATATTCAGGAGGAGATCAGCAAACCTATTTTCTGAGGTGCCTCTGGGTGGATTTAACCTTCCAACCTTTCCATTAATAGCCAAATGCTTTCATTGATAAGTTTTCAGTTTTTAACCCCTTCCCCAAACTCTTTCATTTCATCACACTTTTTTTCCAAACTCCTAATGTTACTATTACATTTTTGTTTGTTTTCGGGCACTTTAACATTAGTGATTGGTTTCTAAATAATAGTGTAACCCAAACAAACAAACAGACGAAGTCCCTGTCATGGAGTTGATTCTGACCCATAGTGACCCCATAGGACAGGATTGAACTGCCCCTGATGGTTTCCAAGACTGTAACTCTTTATAGGAGTAGAAAGCCCCATCTTTCTCCCTTGGAGTTATTGGTGGTTTCAAACTTCTGACTTTCATTTAGCAGCCCAACAAACTTAATGTAAAAAAACCCAACAAAATATATTTGATTTCTAACTTTTTATAATTGTGATTTATTAGTAATAATAAAATTATTATTATTAGTAGTAGTAAATTTACACTTTAAGCATTTTAAGTTTAAGAAAACTAGAACTAAGATATAGTGCTAACCTATTGTTACCAATCATGTTCTTTCATTGGCCAGGAAAATCTTTAATTTTTTAAGGAAAAATTAAAAACGGTTATTTAGCTCATTTGTCCATCTGGTTATTTATTGGAGAACAAAAGAATATATCAATGGTTTCATGTTTTTTTGGTATGAGAAATAGGCATTAACATTTAAAAAGCCAATGATTTATAATTTTCAAGCTTTTTGTTTAAAAGTTAACATAATGTACTGGAAAACTTAGAACAGAAATTCTTTTTTAACAGTATTTTGGCATATAACTCACATAGCATACAAGTCAATAGTTCAGTCACAAGAAGAGGAGTTGTACAATCATTACCACAATCCGTTTTAGAACCTTTTCTTCATTCTTGTAAGCTTTGTTAGCTCCCCATTCCTTCTCACCCTTCTCTGCCAGACCCTTAAGAAACCATTCATCTAGTCTCTATAGAATTACTTATCCTGGAATTCATGTACAGAGAAAGATTTAAAACAACAAATCAAACTAACAAGAATAGCAAAATCAAATAGATAAAAACCCCAGCTGAAAAGGAAGCAGAAAAATTAAAAACCAGAACAAATTTTAAATGGATCCTAAAGGAGATCAGATGGTAACATGCAACTGCTTCCCCAAGAATCCACTTTCCAATGACGTCTGCATGGCACCAAGGCTTGTCACATCCCTGGCCGGAGGGGATCCACCGGAGGCTTCATCCACTTCTGTTTCCCCTTCACTTTTAAATTTTTAACTGAAACAGCTTTAAAATGGGTCAAAAGGGAGATCAAATGGTAAGATGTTACATTTAAACCCAACTACGTCTGCCATCATCGACTTTACAATGCTCTTTGTGCGATTGCTCCTTTTGTAGATGTATAGAATTGTGATTGTAATGTATGTACAGCTTTTATTTATGCTTTCTCTGGATTTTTTCAAAACTCAGCTCATGGAATTTCCTTTAAGAGACTAAGCAGATCTGGCAGTCAGATGCTCCATCTGGCCCTGCCTTGAGTCTTCCTTTATTGTCCTCATTATACATTAGTGTTTCTTTACCCTGAGGGCTCAGCAGAGCTGACTTCATAATCCTCTGTACTTTGTACAGTGCCTGGCATACAGGTTCAGTAAATCATTGCCTAATGGTTGTGAGGATGATTTCATGTTTTCTCTACTTGCCATAGTTATAATTAATATAATCAATATCCGTATACTCTTTCATTGATGGCCATACTATAATCTAACCATGCCTCTGTTGTTGAATATACGGACTACTTTCAGTTTGTGTACTATGAATAATACTAGGAGCCCTGGTGGCACAGTGGGCTGGTTATTCATTGGGCTACTAACCCAAAGTCAGCAGTTCAAAGCCACCAGGTGATCCTTGGGAGAAAGATGAGGCTTTCTGCTCCTGTGAAGGTTCACAGTCTCTGAAACTCACAGGAGTAGTTCTGCTCTGTCCTATAGAACCATGATAAGTCAAAACCGACTCAAGAGCAGGGAGATAAGTAATACTGTAGTAAATGCCTTTCTCTGGTTATATCTTTCCTACTTGGATATTTTTGCAAGAAGTAAGACTGCTAGTCAAAAAAAAAAAAGACTGCTAGTCTAAAGTGAATATGGTCTTTTATGACTGACTGGACATATTAATACAGTGCTTTTCAAATGTTGGTACTTGTGTGCATTATATGGGTGTAACTATTTCAGCACTCCTGTGGGGGTATTGGATAATATATTATAGATTTTTGTGTGTAACTGTGACTTTGATACCACAGTAAACACTATCTTAATTTTCTTTGTATGTAAGAGGTAAAATATTACTTCCTCATTTTAATTTTCCACATTGAATGACTTAGGAAAGGTAAAACATTTCTGTAAGTAGGCTTGCTAGCTATCCATTTATGTAAGTTTGCCCAACGTTTAACTTCCTTGATTTTACATATAACAATAACTCTTTGAATAATATTTTACACTTGTTATAAACAATGTGATCATCTTTTTAGGCAATTTAGATAAAGTTGTTTCATTCTTGGCATGCTAAGAACTCAAGTATCTAACAATTGAATGTTCCACAGATATATTAATGTAGAAGTAGAAATGCTGTTATTCTGTCATTCCTGGGGTTTATATTTTCCCTTCGTTTTGTTCTTTTCCATGATGGTTTAAGTGACTGTCACAGAATGGAAAATTTAAGTTTGCTGCTGGATTCGGTGTGAGTGTCAACAACCACACAAAGTCTTGTTCAGAAACCCACAGGGGCGGTTGTACCCTCTCCTGTAGGGTTGATAAGAGTTGGCATGGGCTCTATGGCACCGAGTGAATCGACTGTAAAATTGTTAAACCGAACAACAGCTTATCTTAGACAGTAAAGAATGTCTGTGCTCTTTTGAAGAACTGCGGGATCCAATTGCGAACAACAGCTCAAAAATGTAGGAAGCTTGGAGGTGGGGTGGGGAGGAACAGTGGGTTTCTGTTAATGGTGAAAGAACCACTGAGGCAAAGAAGGGTGAAAACGGTCACAAAACTCCCAAGGTTTCTCTCCCCGGATCCCACTGAATTGTATATGTAGAAATTGTTGCATCAGTATGTGTCCTGTGTATGTTTTCGACAACAAAGCCATAAAATGAATTCTTTCCAGAAGAAATTACTTCTAAAGAATTGCATCTGTGCGGTGCAATGTGAAATCCCTTTAATTGTGCCTTATCCCCTCCAGCTACTCTTTATTATAAACCTGGCCTTTCCACTTTGCACCGTGGGCTATGGGTATTTACAGCTATCGGAAGACTGGCAATGCATTTATCCAGCAGCAGGTGTTTTTATGTGGCGGGGGCTGGCGGTTGGGGGTGGCTGAGAGACACCTGTGATGTGCTTTGTCCTGGGTGAGGTAACGCTGAGTCCCTGTTGTGTTCCTCCTCCAGGTTACCTGCTACTCGGCCTGATAGCCATGCTGGTGGTCCTGGAAACGTTCTGTGAGCTCCGAGAGCTGAAAAAATTCAGGAAGCTGTTCTACGTGAAGAGGTTCAAGGGCGAGGACCAATTGCACATTTTGGAGCACGATCAGCTCTCCTTCTCCTCTATCTCAGAGCAGGCAGCTGGTCTGAAAGAGGACCAGAAGCAGAAGGAGCCCTTTGTGGCGGCTCAGCTGTCCACGCAGTCAGATGGCTCTGCCAACAATTAAAAGTAGGGCTTTGCTCCCTGATCTCCGAGCACCAGAGTCATGGCAGTCAGAGGCAGACTTGATTTTCTTCCTTTTTATGAGAATGTAAAAACCATGGTGATGCTATTTTAATAAATATGTCAGTTTGCAGTATTTTTTCAAACAAAAAGCAGACAAGCACGTGAGGCAGAGGAAAGCTTTTGCTCTGAAGGAAGGAATGTTTCGTGTCTGAGGAAATAGGATGAGCACCTGTCATTTTTACGTGGCCAAATGATGTATGTAGACGATTGTAGATTGAAAATACTGGGAGCTGTTCTGTTGTGGATAGATCAGTTTTTATATTTTTAATTAGGGACTTTCGGGTTTGCATTGAAATTATTTAGCCATTGGCTTAATAGAAAAATTTATATTTAAAAACAAGAACACACAAAAAGGCATAGAGTTGTATTTTAAAAATAAGTTTATGCGTATGGTTGCATGCGCTTATCCAAATTGATTATTTTTTTAGAATCTAAGTTATAACCTACTATTTATAATCAATAGATAGCCATTTAATGTGTAAATAAAAAGTATAAATATGTTTTTATTCTGTAAATATGTTTTTGATCACCACATCCCAGTACATTTCTTTTTTTAATAAATCATTTTATTGGGAGTTCGTACAACTCACCACAATCCATACACACATCCATTGTGTCAAGCACATTTCCCAGTACATTTCTTAACCCAAGAGTGTAGATATGTTTTCTTTTGATTTCTCTATATGCCCAAGAAATACAGATTTGCTGAAATAAGATAAAATGGAAGAAGATACTTACAAGTGAATATCTATGGCATTCTGCCACAGCGTTTCTACTCTCTGGCAGTAGCAAGTCTTGGACGCCTAAAATGTTTGTAAATGATTCTTTGAAAGAGAACAGGTTGATAGTGAAGAATACAATTTGTATCCTGGTCAATGTGTACAAAGATATTTTGTTTTGAAAGGGTTTTTGTGATTTAGAGCCTAGAACTTGAAACACATTTTCTCTGTGTACATAATGTACGGCACACTCATGTACAAGAGGATCTGACCTGACTCCTGGGATCCGTTAACAGAATTCCCAATTCCCCTCAGCATTTCTTCTCCATCTGTCTTCAGCTGGAAGTGCTACTGAAACCTTCTGAGCTTCTTAGCAACATTCAAGGCTCCACTGAACCACCACTTCAAAACTGAAAAAATAACAACTTCTTAATCAGGATATCGTTAAGAAATAGCAGTGTAGTACTTAATTTTAAGACCTTTTCTGAGTCTATAGAGAATACGCCAAATCTTAATGCTCTCCAAACTGCTATTGTTAATTTGAAGGGTGAGGTACAAAACCAGAAATAAAATCAGTCTTCTGACCTCATCTGTTGGAAAATGACAGCGCCGTTTTGTTCTTGGCTCTTGAATATCTCTGGCTGATGGGCAGATGCCGTCCTATGCTCCTGCAGCGTGGAGGTGTAAGTCTGTCTGACAGAAGAGAAACAGGGTCCCTTAAGCAGTTCAGGGTATTTAGAACACTTTATTTGAAGAGGGGGGGGAGTCCAAAGTTGGGGGTAAATGTAGATTATGGAGAAGAGGATTCTTAGTGATGTCTATCAACTAAAGGGTCCTACTGGACGGAGTGTTTTAGGCTTGAGTTTCTAACCCTGGGGAAGAGGTCCTTGTCATTCAAGATGAGTAGTATGTGTGAATTAAAAGGTGGCATGTTGATTCCCAAGCAGTACATTTACCCACCACTGTCTGCTTCCTTGACCTTGTACCCAGCAGCCCATGTAAGATCAAAGACTTCCAGTATATTAACTGGTCCATGGAAGTGAGTTGAACTGAGCCCTCTGTACTTCTGTGTGGACTAATTAGCTGTTATATTCCTTCTTGTTGTATATATATTCCTTCTTTATATATATTATATTCAAGCTGTTATATTCCTTCTTGATATATATAATTTCTCTCTCTATATATATAAATATATATAATTTCTCTCTGTCTATCTATCTATCTATCTATCTATCTATCTATCTATCTATCATCTATCTATCTATATTTCTCTAGAGAACCCAGCCTAACACAGTCACTTTCTTCATTCCCATTTTGACTACACTTATTTATACTTGGGAGCCCTGGCAGCATAGTGGTTATTCATTGGTCTGTGATCCACAAGGTCTGCAATTCCAAACTCCCAAGTGCTCCACAGGAGGAAGATGAGGCTTTCTACTCCTGTAAACAGTTACAGCCTCAGAAACTCAAAGGGACAGTTCCACCCTGCCCTATCTAGTCTATGAGTTGGCATTGACTAAATGGCAGTGAGGTGGGGTGTTTTTGTATCTATACTTAGAAAAAAAATAGTCACATATTCAGTGAATAAAACAATGATCTCTTACTTATACCCTGTTTCCCTGAAAGTAAGACATCCCCTGAAAATAAGACCTACTTACAGTTTTGCCTCTCGCTGAAATATAAGGCATCCCCCTGAAAATAAAACCGCCCCCAAAATAAGGCCCCCTGAAGATACCTTAACT